CCTCTCAAAATGTTCTAAGTTAGTTTCAGATTTTGAATTGTCACATTCATGGCTAACCTGGAGTGCATGTGGCCAATGGGCCATGGACTGAACACATCTTCAAAGGACTAAACAATGTCCCTCCTTCAGGACTGGACAGAGGACAGACAGCATATATGGAGATCACAACACTCAGCATTCAAGCACTTGCCCAACTTGCCTTCATAGCCACTGTCTGAAGAAGTGGAGGACCCTGGCTCCTGCTTGGTGGGGGTATACAAGGTCACTTCAGCATTGGTCTGACCATTCCCACGAGACCCGCTGGCTTCCTCTGTGCCCCAGATTTCTGGTTGCTGTTGACTCAGGAGGTTGCATTTCATGTTCTCCATTGTGGAGATTATCATGTCTGCAGCATAAAAGTGAACATTTTCCTGCAAGGAAAAAAAAAGTCAGTTCAAATAGGAGCACAATCAACTTTCCTTTGGAGTATGGATCAGGTTTCAAAAGTGGAGAAGTACCACTTAGATGCCACGAATGCAGATAAACATAACTGTTGATTTAACATAACTATGACATAACACACATCCAGAGACACAGATACACCAAATGGAATTCATTTTCAGGACTGGAGATTGAACTTAACATGGCATATGCTAGGTAAGCACTCTACTACTGAACCCATTCCAGCCATCAAGTTGAATGTCTTATGCTAGAATACCTTCAGTAGGTAGGGCCCAACATCTGACATAGTTTGTTAGTCATGGACAACTGAGTACACAGTACCTGCAAAAAATTCTCCATCAAATCCTGAAAATCCTGACTGTACCTCACCATAATGACACGGCCACGCAACAATAAGATTAATAGAGGCCGGGTATGGATGGTGGTGCACGCCTTTAATCCCAGCACTCGGGTGGCAGAGGCAGGCGGATCTCTGTGAGTTCAAGGCCAGCCTGGTCTCCAAAGAGAGTTCCAGGAAAGGCACAAAGCTACACAGAGAAACTCTGTCTCAAAAAAACAAAAATAAATAAATAAATAAATAAATAAATAAATAAATAAATGAGTAATAGAAATAGGTTAATTTAAGTTGTAAGCGCCAGTTAGTAATAAGCCTGGGCCATCAGCTAAACATTTATAATTATTATAAGCCTCTGAGTGATATTTGGAAATGGCTGCAGGATACAGCAGGACAGAGAAACTTTGGATTACAGGTTTCCATACTCATATCCAAGAAATGCAACCAAAACACTCAGACTGTCAGTGGTTGAGAAGATCCACTCACCTTTTCCACATCAATGGGCATCATGAATGTCTCTAGTGGGAAGAAATTCCA